TCTGAGCAGCTGTAGTATTATTATAGGTATAAATTATTTTATATGTATAATATTTCAGAGTGTTTATCATAAATATTGGAGTGTTTTTATTCMTTAGACACAGTGTTATAAAAATTCATGTCACTGAAGTAGTAGGGTTAGAGATTAGCTGTTAATGTTAGCTTTCTGCTACTCTTTCCTTGTTTAACTGTTARCACTGACATGTTTTCCATAGCAGATTATGAGTTAGTGGAGCTAATTTTTATTTTTTTTTAGCTGTGTCTGCAGTGTTTAGTCTGTAGAAAAGCTTAATTTTAACAGTCGTAATTAAATAAATTATAGCTAAAAAAGAAAAAAGAGATATTTGTGAATGACTGCACTGGCCAATCATGAAATAACAATCCTGCTTTTATTTTGAAAACAGTGCTCAAGCTCGGTTACCTTAATAAAGGGAAAAAAATGGCCCACAACAACAAAAATGTGAAAGATGTCTGGAACTGCTGCAAGGAGTGTCTGTGAGAGTCAGTGAGGWCAACAACCACCTGAGGGCACCAGTTCTCCAGAACATCAACAAGTCTGGTCCACRTGGAAAATAGTCMGTTTAAAAACACTACATGAACAAAYAACCAAAGCATTAAAATACAGTTATATTCTCTGTTGAATTAAATACTCTGCAAAAACATCTGATTAATTGATTATATTTAGGTTCATGTTAGATTTATGTGTTCCTAGACACAAACCAAAACAAAACTGAAAAGAAAATTTACAATTTCAAAATCCTCAACACATTCTTAAAAAAAACACATTTTAAGAATTAATGTACATTTTAAAAGTACAGATTCTACCCTCTTTATACATTTAAACCAACTTCTTTCACTATTATATAATCTTATTGAACAATTTACTATGTTAGGAACCAAAAATAAAGATCCAGCGTTGTTGATGTGCAGCTCTTTTCTGACGATGCTCGGTGTTTGCACAGATTCTGTGTTTGGTGCTATTTTTGGCTGAGCCTGATACTTATAGGACACAGGACTGGGGTGGAGTGTGAGCAAAGTTAATAAGCACGCACCCACACACACATTCACACACACACACATACACACACATTCAGAGTTAAAAAGATAACATAGTGAACTTGTTAAAATAATTTCACACACAAAAAGAAAGATGGGATATACTTTTTAAGATTTGCCACTTCACCAACAGGTGAAGAATTTTGTCAATAATTAATTTTATGTCACTGAATTACATTCATGGGGTTTGAATTAAACTTCCCAAGAAAACAGGATGGCAAACAAATTAAACCTGATTCCATCAAACAGACCGATGTTCTGCACAAACACCAACACCCCCGGGGGAAAAACAATAAACAAGTTTTCAAGTAAAGCATTCATTTTACAGAGAATTTATGTTGTTATATGGAACAAAACTAGAAGCATGCGGAGAGAACACCCCGGACAAGACCCTATAAGCAATTGAGAGCGTGCAGCTGCTGAGTTGTGATTGGTGGAACAAAGTTCTGCTGGATGCTGATTGGTTGTCACAGTACACTGCACAAATTAGCCATCTAAAATAAGTTTTAAAAGACTAGATTATAGTCTGAATCCTCTCAAAAGTTACATGTTTAAAAAGATTAAGTTAAATTTATTGGGT